ATTATTTACTAAATATATTTTCGATTTCGTATTTTCACGTCCGCTGATCTAACTCATTATACCAGAATCGGCCTTAGGTATAGTGGTCAGTGGGGCCCTTTCTCCGAGCCTCGTGTAATTGTATACATTTTAGGCTTGATGTTCTAAAAAATTATATTCCTTAAACAAATGGGCCCAGGTCTCACTCAACCTTGAGGCCGAGTATATTACACTAATAAATTACAAGCCATATAGATGCGTTATTAATAAATTATAACCAACATCGGACCTGTTATTTATACTGTGTGGGCGTATTCTCTTGTTGATTTTTTTTTGGCTTAAGCACAATATAATTTTTAAAAAAATTTAGGTACGATTTTCATCGCTGTGGTGTCGATTAGACGAAGAAACTGTAGGAGCTAGCGCTATGGCTACAATTATCGCGGTTCCCTCTTTTGGGCGTTATATTTCGTCTTTTATCCGTGGTTTTAAAATATAAGCCATTTAAAAAAACTTATGTATCTAAAAATTTGAACAAGTATAACAATAATAGTTATCAGACTTTTTAATTATAATATTGTTTAAGTCTTACAATATCTAATACAAATGAATTAAAATGCTCAGCTTTTTGACTCTTGTAATTAAAATTTGATCGTTTAAGTAACTGTAATAAAGAAAATATACTAATTTTCTTCAAATTATTAAAGTAATTTATTTAAATAACCTAAGCAGAAATCTATTGAGTATGGTAATAATTGTCGATGGTATCTTTTTATAACAGGATTCCAGATGTTAAATTAATTTAATTTTTAAGCCCAATTATACTACGAATTTAACCATATCTTTCAAACGATTATTATTATCATACATTACTGAATAAAATGAATATATTATAAGAAAGTAAATAGTTGAAAAATCTTACACTAAATTCACAACAACTCATTTTATTTAAATTTGTTCTCACAATAATACGTCGTGTACCTATATACTGCTATACTGTTATCAAAGTATAGATTCATTTTTAAAGCTATCATGTACATAGCTTTATCTAATTTAAAACGTACCTATTTAAATTTCAATTTAGGTTAATACATAATACATATAAAATTCACATAATAATTTTGATATTTAATTACCTATTTATATTATAACTGTTATAATAAGTATAAAATATATTTTATTTAAAAAGTTTATTTCAAATTATTTAAGATAAATTTAATTTACCATATTATTCACAATACTTAACTATTTATTATTTTGAAATCAAATAAATAATTAATGTTTTTATTATTTTAATGATGACGTTTAAATTTCTATTATAAATAACGATACTGATTATTGAACAAATTTAATTGCTTTTTAACCACATTATTGGATTTTCTTTTAAATTAATACACTTGTTAAAATACATTTAATTAAATTGTAGTATTTGAAAATCGAATAATTATACATGTTATGATTTTGAGTCTAGTACAAAATCAAGTAACAGCTGTATTTATAAAGTTTCTTTGTTATTCAACAAATTTACGCAACGTGATTTTAAAAGGGTAAATAAATCATTTGTATTCGCCGGGTTTTGAACATGGCCTTATTCGACGAGACATATACGTGTTTGTAATGATGTTTCCACTAAAGGTTGTTTGAGAAATACATAATATCATAAAAATGTAACGATATCATATATTTTATAGAGTATGTACAATAACAAACACATTTTGTTATTATTTTAAAATTGTACTTCTTTATCTATAAAAATCTATTTTATTTATGAATAATAATCAGATAAAAAAAAAAAACCATATCTATTACAGTAAACTTTAAACGTTAACATTTTAAGCAATGATTAACGTTACAAATTCTATATTAACTATCATAGTGACTATACATAGTAAATTGTCATAGTAACATTTTATAAAAATATAAGACGCAAAAGTAAATTAAAATTTTAAAAACTAGAGCATATATACTGAGTATATCAAAATATTTTAAAATTTAATGACTAAATCTTAATAATAAATAAATTCAACGAACTGGTTGATACTATTGGTATGATCGATAGTTATTGCTGTATATTATTGCACAATCTTCTCGTTTATTTGAAAATTTCAAAACTTTATTACCTACCTACAAAATGTTGTAATATATTACACCATAGACCAATTTTATTACTTGGTACATTATACATTAAATACAAATTAAAATCATTTGTTTTCAATTTTTTTTTTTTTTTTTAAGATAACAATAATCGAACTTTATTAATTTATTTTTTTTTTAAACAATAGATTTAACCCTAAGTCTTATGCAGTAAAAAAAAAAATGTAATATTTGGTTATTTTTATATACTTTTTTATTGTATAAACTTATTAACATAAGTTAGGTAAAGAATCATAGTTAAAAAACAAACAAAATATCATAATTCATAATAGTATATATATACGCTTTAAAAAAACTATTAAGTTACCAGATAGTAGGTAGCAAGTACCTGTAGAGTTATTATAGTTAGTTTATCATAGAAAATGTACGGTATTGACTATGAAAATAGAATTGGAGTACAGTAAGAAAAATAATTTAATACTGAGAACTCAATTCAAATGGAGGCTATAAAATAACATTTTCTTTAAATAATAATAAAAAAAAAAACTAATTACCGTGAATCTATATTTACAAATAAGATCATTGACAAAAAAAAAAAATAACTGATATTATACCGTATTGAAATACCACCTCATTTTGAATAATTCAAAAGCTTAAATATTATATGCATAAATTAGAATAATTTACACATATATAGGTATTAAAAATTTAAGTTGATTTTAAATGTCATAAATATTCTAAATAGCATTCCGTTATATTAAGTAATTATTATCCGCATTCCGATTTTGTGCCATCGCCTCATTTAACCACGCACTTTTATAAGTAATTGAAATATTTTATATGACTTACATATTATCAAAAAATATATTATATTCAACTCTTTTTTTTTCTAAATCGTATAAGGTGCTATTTTCAAGTGTGATTTATTGCCTACAAGGTTGTGATGTTCAAACAAAGTTTGTTTATGAATATACCACGATATTCTTATTGTTTATTGTCGGTATAATTCAGAAAAATAAGCTTTTACATAATATAACCA